CGCCCCAGTCAGTGTGAAAGTGAGAGTGAGTGAGTTTAGTTAAGAAGCTCAGCAATATTCAGCAGAGGCGAGATATAGTGAGTGAGAGTGAGAGAGAGAGAGAGAAGAGTGAGTGAGTGAGAGTGAGAATGAGAGTGAGTGTGAGAGCGAGAGTGAGTATGGTTTTACGTGGCTTTTAGCAATATTCCATCAATATCATGGCGGAGATACCAGAAATGGGCTTCACACATTGTACCCATGTGGGGAATAGAACCTGGGTCTTCAGCGTGACAAGTGAACGCTTTTACCACTAGGCTACCCCACCTCCCCTCAAAGCCATGAAATTAGCTATTTGTCATACATATGGACATACATTAATTCCATTTTCCAAATTTCCAAGGACATTTGAGGCAGACTTAGGAACAAATATCGGCCTCTGACAGATCCAGATAAATCCTTATAGATGTAAAATATATACCACAGACATGAGAATGGCAAAGCACAAAAAACACTGAAAATTTAGCCAGGGGTCTTGGGGGTCTTTTATTGCAGATATTATTGCCAAATTTTGAGGACCCCAAAAAGCAGTCTGTAAGAAAACAGGTTACAGTTTTGTCAAACTTTTTTTTGGTGATAAGAAAACAACATCGCATCACATACCCGCAGAATATAAACCAGGATGCCTTATAACTCAATTATTAAGTAAACCAATACAACATGTCTTCAAGTAAGATAAAAACAAACATTTGATTAATTGAAGGGCATGATTTAGATGTTTCTTCATGATTCTTTAACTGATCAGATAAGATTAATTAAGTTGAGATTTCCACAACACGCTGCTCAATTATTCAAGGACAACATAATCATGACATGTCATAGACCAATGAGTGGATATTCTGGGGCAAAATACACATAAAAATACCCAAATACACAGATTTGCTTCTTTCCGGTGTTTGACAATGGGTAAATACAAACCTGAAACAACATTACCAAGTTGCAGAGGATAAGGATTTGTAAAACGAATCAAGAGTTAAAATACAATCATGAGTTAATTGTGACATGAACTCTGGTTAAGACAACGTGAGCCCCACTGCCCTAGTTACTCTGATGTAGGACAACTCCTCTAACCAGTAATCGGCCATCTTTAGTCATCAGCAGCTCAAGGGGAATTAGTCTACAGTAACCTTGATTGTACTTTGAATAACCAGGGCCTCTTGTTTCATAAGCAGGTTTACACTTTCACAAGAGCTTTCCTTTTTATTTAGTCTTTGTAAACATGTGGTCAGTACGTATTAGAAACATAAAAAAATTTAAAAGTCATGATGGTCTAGACCCTGAAACATTCTATTATGGTGAGTTTGCATATTAGAGATTTGTGATAGATTTTATTGCGAAGTGGGTTTTCAACCTCAGCTGTTATAAAAAATACTCTTAACCAAGATCAGCTTCTCTGAAATATAACCTGATCGTCCTTTATAGATTGAGTTTCCATCTCAGAAAATCCTGAAATAGTTTTATGGTTGAAAACTGAAGCTATGGCTCTCTTTCGACATCTACTATACTAAGCAGCAAAAGAAACGTCAGTTTGGAATTTTCCTTCACAGAAACGGATAACTGTAAACTCATTTAATGTTTTGATTGTATATTTTTGACAACATCTCCAACTGTACCTGAGCAAAAACATTCCTTCCCAAACTCAGAATTGAACCCAGGAAATGGTCTCAAAAACGAAACCTGATCTCGGAGATGGTACGGTGTTCTCCATGTTTTTTTTGCAACTTATTCTGCACGTGCTGTTCACAAGGACCAGCCGTATAAAATGCACCCACAAACCTGGTTGAAACATTCATATTACAACGTCAGCAGGATGCCGCGACTCACGACAGCTCAGAGGAACCAGGCGCTAGGAAGACTTGAAGCTGGATACTGCACAAGCCGTTGCCAATCACTTCCAGGTCAACGTTCGGACCATCTACAGGCTGCAGCAACGTTTCCGGGCCACCAACACCACAAATGATCGCCCCCATACTGGCTGACCAAAGGTCACCACAAGACGACAAGACCGCCATGTTGTGCGACAGCATGTACAGAATTCCTTCATGCAGGCATCCGAAACAGCATGCCAGACACTGGGAACACACGGAAGACCAATCAGTACTGATACAGTACGCCGACGTCTTGACAGCGGGAACCTCCATTGCCGTAGACCTTACCGTGGACCAATCCTCACCCCTCGTCATCGGCATGAACGTCTACAGTTTGTCCTAAAACACCAAAACTGGTGATACAGGCAATGGTGAACTGTTCTGTTCACAGATGAGAGTTAGTACTGCGTATCATCTGCAGATGGCAGAACAAGAATATGGCGACGACGTGGCCAGCGTTACTCAGACCAATGTGTTATGGAAAGGACTCATGGGGAGGTGCAAGCATCATGGTATGGGGTGGAATAGGCCTGAACCAGAGAGTGGGTCCTGTGGTGTTCCAGAACCTTGGTCCAGGGAGAGGAGGCGGCATCACAGCGGTGCGCTACATCGACCAAGCTCTCAGACCCCCAGTCATACCACATTTCGCACGTCACCGGAACAACATTTTCCAGCATGATAATGCCTGTGCCCATACTGTCAGAGCTACACGGGACTTCCTGCAGCAAAACGGTGTCAATATTATGCAGTGGCCAGGCCTTAGTCTGACTGAACCCCAATTGAACATCTTTAGGATGAAATTCAGAGGAGACTGAATAATGTCATACCAAGGCCGAACACAGCTGATTTATTGCGCCAGGCCTTTCTCAGAGTGTGGTTCCAGGTGCCAATTGCTTTCATCAATCGATTGGTGCACTCCATGCATAGACGCTGTGCTGCAGTTATTGCCGCTCGTGCTGGTCACACTAGATACTGAAGTCAAGAGTCTGAATGGACTGCAAACGTTCACATAATGTCTTGAATTTGTATTGAGCTATTCATTGATGTGTCAAGATATTGTACACAAAAAATTGTTTTGATCCGCTTATTTTGTCCATTTCTGTAATGATTTTGAATTCGTACTGGCGTTTTTTTGCTGCTGAGTATATATCCACACTTGTTTTTAGAAAAATAAAATTCCTGGACAAGCCTTGCTGATTTTAGGTACCGAACATTTGATATTCTGGGGGCAGGATGGGGATTTTGTACATAGACAAGATATTTTGGTTTAATTTGCACAAAAGGAATTTTCTAAAAAAACTAACAGTCTAAATGTTTTGTTTTACGAAAACATCTTCCAACCTTGTATTTTTAGAGACAGACAATATCTTTTTCTTCCAAAAGTCCAAAGCATAGATATACTTTTGAAGCATTTAGTTTAGACATGATATGTATTTTACTCAAAATTCCCAGCCCCCCCCTCAAGGTATAATAATGACTGGCTCCTAAATCGTTATGAATGAAAAGAAATTTGGGTTAGATTCCCATCTCTCATCCTGCATTCAAACCCCAGTATTGGAAGCCATACCCTGTCATCGTCATAGTTTATCCTCATACTTGGTCAAATGTTAGGACAGGGGTTCAAAATCTTTTTTTAAAAGCCACTTTCCACAGGGCAATTGACTTTAAGAAAGAAACTTGTCCTAGCTAATTTTCCACTTGCCCTGATTTTTATGACATATTAATAATGATGATGTAATTATGAAAGAATAAATCAACATGGTATTTGATGTTAATGTTCACTGGACTATTTTTCAAGAAGTCATAAATATCAAAGAAGGATTTTGAACTCTACTTAATTATCATTGCAAAATGTAATAGCTACATTTTGAGAAGATATGAAATGAAATCCAAGTTTAATTGCAGTTTGAAACTGTAAGCAGAGATTACCTAGTAGCCCACGGACAAGTAAGATACCATTATCTGATTGCCCGAAATGAAAACTGACTTGTCCCGGGCATCGGGCGATGGTATTTTTGAACCCTGTTGGATACAAATTGTTACAACCTGCAAGCACTGAGTGATAACTACAAATAACTCAAGATCACAACAATCAATAGTGAATAAACAATTGATGCAAATCATTGATTGGTGTCTTCTAGGAATTCAGAAATCATATACCATTCCTCTTGTGAGAATTGCGATCTGAGATTAAATTGTCATCATAAAGCATCCAGTGATAGATATATTTTTCATGATTTAAATATGATTGATGTATTACCAGATCGTTCAGGGAATACAAGCCTGATGCAGTATCCAGGTTTAGTCACCACCGTACCAGTAGCTTCTCATTAATTATCAGCAAATAACAACACATAATCCTCTCTCGGCTGTTTCCCCTGACATTCAAGGACCTCCACTATGTGCACAAACCATGACACACACTTTAACATTAATCTGTAGAAGCCTTGTCCTGTCTAATCAATCGGTTATTTTATAAGCCATTGTTATTGATGTCAATGCATCATTTATTCCCATGCATGTCAACTGGCCTCATATATATCGAGACACCTATAATCTCATAACAATTGAATTATTACATAGACACAAGTTCTAATATAATAATAAATTAATTATTAAGTACCTAATAACCAATGACCAACTCAATGCTCATTCTACTTTCAATAAATTGATTACTTTTCAAAACTAATGATACTGAGGGAAAAAATATTTCTTTATTACTCATGTTAAGTCAAAGTGATTATTAAAGTAGAAGAAAGTACTAAAAATTCCAGTTAGAACATGTGATACTTATGTGCTATACCTTTTTAAACCATCAAAATAATAACATAGGTAGATCGTTGAAACAAATCTAAACTTTCAATTCAGTGGACCTGAATATTAACAAGGGGAATGTTGAGATTAATTCAGCTGATGACTGCCATGAGACTGCCATGAACATCTCATCTCATCAAGAAGAGATAGCCCTGAATTATTAACACAATCACTGACTCCACTGGCCAGACTCTTCCCCAGTCAATATGAGTGCAGGTAAAGTGACAATGCCAAGCAATCCCATATTGATCAGCATAGTAGCCTGGTTGGTGTATACAAAGCCGTATCAAAAGGCCATGTAGGTAGACAAGGGCTTGGTAAACTTGGTAGAAAATCAGGGACTGATAATCTACAGCGGTATAAATGTGAATTGATCAGCGAGCACAGCTTCAGCCAGCCATGACTGAGAGAAATGTCATGTTAGCCGTTGTGTAAATAAATCCAGGGTTTGTGTGCAGGATCATCAGTGTGTATCATGAGCTGTGCAGGCTATGTTTCTTCATGGAACATATTAGTTAAATGATGCTCTTTTATAACACAGTCGTGTAAGGATTAATTTTTCGGCTGTCGCAAATAATCCAGTATTTCTTATCGTGATCGATTGACTGGACTCCTTTGGATTTACTTGTGTATACGGAACACTATAATTAGTGTCTGAAACAGCAGATGCGCCTAGGCAAAAGAATGACGTGTACATCAACCACTGTGGCACGTCACTGACAGTGTTGTAAAGGATTAACCACCTTGTCTCACTCAGGCTGAACTACTCACAGAGTCGGATCAAATGACAGGATTGAATACCATTGTCTACATAAAGATCAATGTGTCTGTATGATGTGTCAAGCTTTTAAGCCATTACAAACTTGGTTGGTTTTAGGATGAACAGCTTTGAAAACAACACCTCGCAATTAAGGTAGGTTGGAGCCAAAGCATCAATCAAGACAGACAGACTTATATGGTGCTATTGACTAATTTAGGAAAAGTATAGTAGTCACATTCTGTTGTTTGTGGATGCTTTCTCTGCAAGATTTGGCTGTTATCAGTGCAAAGGGTTTCAGCTGTAACCACAGAAAAGATAGTTCAAGAAGTTTTCGCAGTGCAAGTTGATTTGGGCCTGAACCTTGTGCAAGAAGTTTTTGCTGTAACCAGTGCAAGTTGCTTTGGGCCATAACTAGTGCAAGTTGTTTTTGGCCTGAACCAAGTGCAAGAAGGTTTCGCTGTGGCCAATGCCATGACTTAGTGTAAAAATGTATTGCTGTAACCAGTGCAAGTTGCTTTGACTGAGCCAGTACTAGCTCACAGTACTACAACAGGTGTGTCCTGAAGCTTTTGGAGATCTGAGGCCTTCAACTACTGTTTGATCACAGATTGTAATGACCTCAATAAAAGATCTGCTGTAATATGAGAAAGGATGTGAAGCTTACAACTGCTGTTTGATCACCCACTGTAATAACCTCATTAAGAGATCTGCTGGCTAGTTAATTTGGAAAAGGATACTTGAAGTAGGCCATGGCAGATTAATGTGATCCCCAGCGCGAGGACACAGCATGGCAAGGCTTTCATGAGGTATAATTATGCAGGTGTGGAGTGGTCATAATCAGCCTCTCCATTGTTGGACATAGACTGCTGTGTGTGTTGGTGGCATGTAGGGTCACGTCAGGGTACATTCATCAAAGAAAGGGAGGCATGTGTGTTGAAAAGCGCAAATACTCTTGCGATGGACACGATCCCTTGAAGACTAAACCACTGTAGCTCTGAAAGTCTGATCATTCACAGCTGAGGATTTCAAGGTACAGACACTACCGAGAGACCCTTCACTCTGATGCCTAGACAAATCATGTCATCACTGTCTGGTCATCTGGTTATCAACACTCGAAGCTGAAGGGGATGAAGAACATGACAACAAATGATTGCCACAACAAGAAACACCACAATACGTCTAGGATGACAGTCTGACAAGATAAACTTACAAACCTAACATAACACAAGTATATCCAGGCCAGAAATCAATCACATTCCTCAACTATTGCATCATCACCGTTTTTCCTGGGACGGGTGTTTTCTGAGAAAACTTTCTTGAAGGTCATAGTCCATCAATAAAACCACATCTATCAAGTTCCCTGTGACAACCTCTAGTGTATCAACAGCGACAACATCCAGGTGATCGGAGGCAAACAACAAGTCAGCTGGGTGCTAAGTGCTCAATACATCCCGTGGTTGCAGCGGAACTGGGGGAGACAAAAGCGCTATTGATTCCCAGTCCTGTGGCTGCATGTGAAGGGTAAGAGCTGATCGGCATCAGTTGGTTCCTGTGTGGAGGTGAGCAGAGACTGCCATCAGTTCTACCAGCATGGACGGAGCAGCACAGGACGATGCTGTTCCACCTTCACCGACATGGTGTGATATGAACCTTGAACTGGCTCTCCTCAGAGAAGGTAAAAACTTTGTCTGTGGGGGTTCATGCTACATTGAACAGTATTTTAGATCCATCAAAGTGTGTAAACTTAATCTTCAGGAAAGAGCCAGAGTAACTCAGGTCTTAAATGTTTATCACCTTGGTGAAATCAATATGTTGTTGTCTTGACAAACCAATTTCATATATTTTGAATCTTGGGGCTGGAACACAGAACCTGTAACTAAGGAATGCATCAATATGCTGCATGATGGATATTAATTCTCATCCACTGGTGTCCCATCATAAGTTCAGGGAATATTGTGTTTAAGTTACATAAACCTAAACCTCTTGCTTTAGATATTGGAATTATTATTGACAACTAGTCTTATCATAGATCCCATCCATATCAGCATCCATTTCTCAGGTTGAAAGGTCCCTTGATCATCTGATTTGGCAACCAATCCAAACATTTTTGCATATATTCTATTAGTTGACCGATAAATATTTACAAAATAATACTTTGAGTTTCTTAAATAATGAGATATAATGTGTTTTCAAAACTTCTGGGGTGATTGTGTATTTGGTGCAAAGTAATTTCATACAGTGTAAAAACAGGTACATATACAATAGAGGTGATAAACATGTATAATGGCCTGATTATCTAACGCTCAATGAAGCATTATATTGAATATTTTAGAAACTTCAAAATATGACTTTGCCATATAAATGTAAACAACCCTTCTTCAAGTTGCGATTTAGACATGCCTCTTAATTACCATAAATTATCAAATTAATGTAAGAAAATGCAAGTGTCCCTGGCTAACAAGAACAACGTGACTCAGTTTCATCCGGATACTTTGCACATTGAAATAGACATTTATATACATAATGAAGCCCACAACAAATAATGTAATCTAATGCAACCAACCTAGTGCAAAATTTAGTGTGTTCAAAATCACATTCCATGCCTAGTGTGCTGTGTTTACTAAACTAAATCTACCAGTATAAATTGCTGCCAACCTTGACACAGCAAACAAAATTCAAGTGGATTGATGTGGGTGAAACAAATTATCATTGAACTAAGTCAACAATCTTGCCATTCTCAATTGCTGATTAGCTTAAGTTCAGAGGTAGGGTTAATGGTTTAATAATTAATTTTCAAATTGCTATTATTGGTTTGTATTACATGGGGTATGCACATTAAATGAAACCCCGAGAACAAGAAGGGTTGGTTTCTACGGTAGTCTAAGTTAACACTCATCACGCATCGCATGTGCCTTTGTTTCACTGTTCCCACTACTGCACGTACCCCCTTGTAATACAAACCAATAATAGCGATTTGAATCTATGATCGTTTGTTAAACAACTTTCATCCCAAGTTGAATAAAATTCTGAGATTTTTATGTTCAATTGGCAAGGTAAAATTATGAGGATTCGCAATCTTAATTTCCTTTTATCTGATTTACTTTTTTATTCAAAATGTTATTCATCGGTACGTTTTCACTGCAAACAGACTATAGCAGGATATACCTTCTCTAGTTGCAACTGTTGTTCTCTACCTTTGATGAAGAACTCCCAAGGATTCCTCACTGAAACCTTTATATCTAAGAAAAGGACTTATTTAGATTTTATACTAAGTGCACATGTCTAGGAAGTATGGAGAAAGCATTATCAAACATCTTATTCTTTTATCTTTTCCATTAAGTCATTACTTCCATCCTCTATATGGATAAAAGCCTCTTAATCAATATATTGAAGTTTTCTAATTGCTCAATTAATATATTTTTGTCAGTGAAATACAGATCAACCTTGCAAAGCATAAGCTTTCGTCCTTGGTATAATAACCTGAACTGAGTCATTGTTAATTCAATTGGGGATTTCTTTACAAAGATCTAGGGATGAATGTTCCCCAGAGGAGACTAGTCTAGGGATGAATGTCCCCCAGAGGAGTCTAGTCTAGGGATGAATGTCCCCCAGGAGTCTAGTCTAGGGATGAATGTCCCCCAGAGGAGTCTAGTCTAGGGATGAATGTCCCCCAGAGGAGTCTAGTCTAGGGATGAATGTCCCCCAGAGGAGTCTAGTCTGAATGTCCCCCAGAGGAGTCTAGTCTAGGGATGAATGTCCCCCAGAGGAGTCTAGTCTAGGGATGAATGTCCCCCAGTCTAGTCTAGTCTAGGGATGAATGTCCCCCAGAGGAGTCTAGTCTAGGGATGAATGTCCCCCAGAGGAGTCTAGTCTAGGGATGAATGTCCCCCAGAGGAGTCTAGTCTAGGGATGAATGTCCCCCAGTCTAGTCTAGTCTAGGGATGAATGTCCCCCAGAGGAGTCTAGTCTAGGGATGAATGTCCCCCAGAGGAGTCTAGTCTAGGGATGAATGTCCCCCAGAGGAGTCTAGTCTAGGGATGAATGTCCCCCAGAGGAGTCTAGTCTAGGGATGAATGTCCCCCAGAGGAGTCTAGTCTAGGGATGAATGTCCCCCAGAGGAGTCTAGTCTAGGGATGAATGTCCCCCAGAGGAGTCTAGTCTAGGAACTTCAGATATTGGCATTTCTTGAAAAAAAACCCAACCCTTGAATCAGCAATTGTTCTTGCTTGGCTGCGTCGTTCCTTACTATTAAAATCGATCACATACATTATATATTCAGATGGTTGTTACACTTATTGTCTTGAAGAAAAAATAGAGGAGTGTTTTGTTAACCATGAATATTTCAACAGTGAAAATATGAAAGAACATTTCTTATGCTCGCTGTGCGGAATTGAAAGGGCAGTCAATCAATCCTATCCAAGGAATGTCATTCAGATCAATCCAGCATTATGCACCTTCTACCATTATGCAATGCCAGCTTCTACCAAGATGTCGCTCTTTGAATCCTGAGGTGCTTTCAGAGCATTTTACTATGTGGACTTGGGGAGCTCTTCAAAACTTCAGCCCAGGATAAACAAGAAGACAAAGTCATCATTATCCCCCGCAATGGCAAAATACTCTTCATGATTATGTCTACGAGTTATGATTATGTCAAATATTTAGGTGTGTATATAGAAAAGTGGAAGGAGAGTATTGAAAGGTTTTGAAAGTTCTGCTCCAGAAAGGAGCACTATCACCAATTTCAGTCAAAGTCGAACTTGTTGCCATGGAAACACCAAAAATATTTGATTCAGAATTCAAAAACTACCAAAAGGCACCAGTACACCACCAGATCTATGTATGTGCCAAGTTTGGTGAAGAAACATTGAACGGTTTTAGAGTTCTGCTCCGGAAAAGAGTACTACCACTAATTTCAGTTTGAGTCAAAATTGTTGCCATGGAAACGCCAAAAATATTTTATTCAGAATTCCAAAACTACCAAAAGGCATCAGTACACCACCAGATCCATGTATGTGCCAAGTTTGGTGAAGAAATATTGAACGGTTTTAGAGTTCAGCTCAGGAAAAGACAAATGTGCATGGACGGACGCACGGACGGACGACGCGACGCAGTTGACGTGAGTCCATTAATACCCCCCGCAACACAGCGCTGCTGGGGATAAAAAAAAAATCAGTTCTGTTGGTGTTGAAACAAACAAGCATGTCCTAAATCTGAAATCTAAAAACGGTGCTGTTTCTTTTCAGTGTTCTAATGTGAAATCCTGTGAAATGGTAAATTTCTTAATGAGCTTATATTAAAGTATTATTGCACTTGAGTGAAATAGCTTGTTCTAACACCCAAGCAACAAACAATATTATTTTTTGGGATAAATTCACTATTTCATCAAACAAAACATATCAATACATTTAATCATCAATGTCACTTTTTAAATTTTTACATCCAAGTTGAATTTAGATCATGGAAAGTTTAAAGGGCCAGAATCTTGACCATTTTGTATTTGGTACAAAGGAACTTCATACAGTGTAAAAACAGGTACATATACAATAGAAGTTATAAACAAATATAACAACATGATTATTTCACACTCAAAGACGTATAATTTTTAAATTTCTACATCCAAGGGAATATATCATGGAAAGTTTAAAGGGCCAGAATCTTGACCATTTTGTAAATAGCTGATACCCATAGCTGAGCTCTGCTTGCCTTATTAACAAACTTTCTGTAGGTTAGTTATGTGGCAGGGCTTTCAGTGTCAGTACTTCTGTCTTAATTCCTCTAATGTGTAAACACTCCCAGCACCATATCTGTAAATCCTAATAGTACCTGCATGGCTTTCTGTTACAGTTCTTGAATTGACAAACCTTTAAATCTTTAATTTTGAACATTCATTAAAGAACATGAACACTACGACCAAATGCTAAAATCATAACGCAAACACTGATATTCTATTAAACCCTTAAATCATTAATTCAGGATATAGGTTAATAACAAAATTAGCAAGTAAAATTTGGCTCAATGGAATACTGAAAGACTTCCATTTGATGATGGAATTAGTTGTGTTTGTTTCAAAATGAGTGAGTGAGTGAGTGAGTTCTAAGTTGCTTCTAGCAATATTCCAGCAATATCACGGCAGGGTACACCAGAAATGGGCTTCACACATTGTACCCATGTAGCGAATTGAACCCATGTCTTCAGCATCTCGAGAGAACGCTTTAACCACTTGGCTACCCCACCGCCCCAGTTTCAAAATGAATTATTGGTCAAGTTACATGTAGTGGGGAAAGATGTGAGGCAAACATATCCAGTTTTCTCTAACATTTATCTTACAGATAGATCTATTATAAAACCCTCTCACCGTACAGCCAGCCAAAGGAAATGTCTCAATGAAAAATTCAGCCATAGAAATCCTATTAAAGTAAGCTCTCATATATTTTATTCATCCTTATATTTATTTAATATTGCTTTTTTAAAGACGGTGATTGTGCTTTAGCCACTAGGCTACCTCACCACCCCAAGTATTGTAGGACTATATACCACAATCTAAATAACACTTAAAGTTCATTGTATAATTACAGCTCAAAAAGTACAATCGTTCATACTGAAATTCGTAATTCTTTTTGTCTACCATTGTAACTGCCTAAATCTTCTCATCAAAGTTTCTTCCATTCTTGATGG